TTTCAAGATTCTCATGTGTTCATAGATCGATTTGATTTGAACCATTTTTAAAGTTTAAAGTTTTATAATTAGAGATGAAAATATATTCTCATGCCATCCTAAAATTTTTTTATATCAAAATTACATTTATGATAAAATTTAGAGGTGCACGTTTAAGGTTGGAACCTTATTGAAACAACACCATTTAATGAATATTTGTTATTTTTATTATATTGTTATTATTTTTAGTTAATTTTTAATTTTTATGCAGCTTTGTGCCCTGTATAGCTCCCAGGCGAGTCCACATTGAACCAAGTGAGTAACTCAACCTCGGGCCAGGGCCAAGTACATGCTGCGAGGTGAGTTTCAAAACACTTACAAAGCTGAAAAATCTCCAGGCTTTGAAATTTGTTAAGAACTCCGAGTTTTTTAAAAGATTTTCAAAAAAATCATAGTTTTTTAATGGAACCGATATAAGTGCATATTTTATCTTTCTTTAAAAAAACTTTTCTAAAAAACTTCTTCCCCATAATTTTATATCTTCATTAATTTAATATCTTTGAATTTTGGATTAGGGATAAGCACATTAAAAGTGAAAGTAAATTAAGAATCTTGATTTAAAAATAACATTTATAACTTTTTTTTACCAATATATTCTCTTAAAAAAAATACAATATATTCTCCAACAAATAATCCATCAAAACAACTACATATATCAAATAATAATTAGAGTTAAGAGGAATAACTCAATAAAACTATTTTCTTCCTCTAAACACTGAGTATCATTATAAAGAGCAAGAGAGACACTCATGAAACTAGATATTTAGGCACCTAGGAATTCACGGTGAGCTTCAAATATCTAGATTTGCATAAGCATTTTGTCACTTTCTTTTTGACAATAAAAGTTCGATTAACCTTTGTAATTTTTTTTTTTAAAAAAATTTCATTAGTACATGCAACATAACTATTTGGATGGACTATTATTATACATTTTTCGGTTTTGGTATTGCGAAAGTATAGAATGAGACCATTTACATTTGATACAAGGTGGTCACATTAATCTTGACCATTGGATGTGAAATTGAGTGGTTACAATTATTTTATTGACCAAGCTCAAACTTCAAAAGAAATTTTTTCAAACTTCATGACACATCCAAGCTACTAAATTTCACATCAAATGGTTGTAAAGAATTGTAACCACCTTGTATCAAAGGTAAATAGTCTTATTGTATATAATCCCGTATTGTATTTTAGTTAACTATGATCCTATATTAAAGCTATGTTTTTTGGGATTGTATACAATGATACCATTTACCTTTGATATAGGAATGTCACAATTACTTACAACCATCCGATGTGAAATATAATAGCTTGGGTATGTAACAAAGTCAGAGAAAAATTCTTTTGAACCTTGAGCTTGGTCAATGAAATAAATGCAACCACCCAATTTCATATCCAATGGTCGAGATTAATTGTGATCATCTTGTATCAAAGGTTAATTGTCTCATTATATACTTTTTAATTTTATTTATTTTTGCTTCTAACAATAATCCCATATCTTGGATTCCGTTCTTGTTGTTCGCTAATATAGTTCTTGTGTTTAGTATTGTTATTATTATATGCTCCCAATAAATCTACGATATATTTTGTACCACGACAACAGGCGTATTCTTGTTGTATTTGTTGAAAGTTTACACAAAAAATTGTCGATATTAAGAAAAGACATAAAAAATATTTTGGTGAATCATTTCTTGACGGACCCACACATATTAGGTTTTCAAAAGATATAGCTTCCAGCCCCCAATCCAATATGACCTTATTTTATAACACATTTTTATACCAAACATTTTAAGAAATGACGCTAACTTATTTACTCACCCAACACCTTCCTCTCTCCACTGGCCCCAAATCCTTTTTCTCTCTCTGTTGCCACTCTCCCAACCTCTCTCTCCATTGCGCCCACAATCTGTCTCTCTCTCTCTCTCTCTCTATCCTTCTGAGAGCTCAAGCATTGAATCAACAAGACATAATCACCCCAAATGCCCATTTTCAATCATCTTATTCACCTCCCCAAATGATACAATTTTACAGAGCCCCTTAACGATGGTGGGCTGTTCAGAGACACTTTGCTGGTACCCATTTTCCCAAAAGCCCTGTGACCATAATGCTATAAGCTGAGGCATTAATCCCATTTCCCCACGATTCTCTCAAACAATTTTATTGCATCATTGAGTCTCCCTTCTCTCCAGTAACCAAAACTGAAGTTTCAGAATCAAAGGCTATGGATTACCCTTGCTAATTGGTTAATCTGATAAAGGCCATGGATTACTGGAATTGAAGTTGCATAATAAATAAACTGATATTTTTTAACAACAAGTCTAGAGAGCTATGTCCGCATTGGCTGCTGGATTAGAGAGAGAGAAAGATGGTTTGGGGAGAGAGGAGAGAGAGAGGGGGTATGGGGAAAGGTCAGAGAGAGATAATGGTTTGGGGCGAGAGGAGAGAGTGTTTGTGTGAAAGAGATTAAAAAGGAAAAGGTCAAAGAAAGGATAAAGAGAGAGAGTGAAAGAATCGTCATATTTTAATATGTTTGGGACGAGAATATATAGTCAAATGGGGGTGGGGGTTATTACATAAATTTTTTGAAAGCTAATGCCGATGCATAGGTCTATTAGGAAATAGTATACCAAATTAAGGTGTATGAGATATTTTTCTTAAAAATTATAATTCAATTGTTTTAATGTATTCGTAATTGATTTTTTTGAGTCAAATCTGAAATATTCACATTTTTTAACTAAATTTTTACGATCCGTATTTTTTACCCGATTTTTTACCTCTGACTTTTTGGAGCAAAACCGATTTTATTACCGATGTTTTGATTTGGCAGTATATTGCTATTCCTCAACCTGTTAACTATGGGCACAACTACTTCGTTGGAGAATAGTTTTTTCGAAGTTGACCCATTCCTAAACTAAGTTTGCCTTTATTTTTTATCCAAACCTGAGAGAGAGAGGGATTGTTACCTTAGTATGTAAGAGTTATACAACTAAATCTTACAATCAAATTAGAGCCCATCTAAAAAATTTCATTAGAAAAGGTTGTTTTGATGCCCAAATATCATCAAATTGATCATCTCGATATCATGATGCACAGACACGACAAAAAAATAGATTTCAAGTTTTGGAAATACTACATCTTGTAACTGTTAATTTTTTAAAAATTTTAAGTTTTTATAGATCTGCTCTATCTACATTATTTTTAAATATTTAAATTTTATAATTAAAAATAAAAATATATTATAAAATTATCACAAAGATTTACAGTATTGAAACCACATTTTTCAAAACTATTTAAACTACGTTTTACTTTGATTGTTTAGAGTCTCGACTCTATACAACCTACACCCTTTTTAGTTTAACGGTATAGAAGTTGAGTGGCCTTATAGAGAGAGATAGATTGTTAAGTTAGTATGTGACAGTTCTAAAGGTTATAATAATTGCCTTTTTAAGGTTTTGGGGGAATCTTAGATGGGCCGAGTAGCCCTTTGAAATCATCATTATCATTCAGATCCTTATTTCAATTATTTTCAATCGGTTGCACAAATTTTATCATGTCATTCTGCTTTATTTTAAGGCCATATCCTGTTTTAAAATGAGCATATGATATATTTATCATTCATAAAAAATTGCAGCATGGGGTGTTTTGTGTCGGTTACGAACCTAACACAACCCTCTTCATTTACTCGGGCTGGGACCCGCCTATGACCTGCAAAGGCCCGGCCAAGGCTGAGTTAACATGGCTGGCCGCTTTGAAATATTTCTAAAAAGCGTGGGGTTGCTTTGTCAAGTTTGGCGACTTCCATACTTTCCAGGAAAAAAAAAGATCCTCCATCCATCAGTGCCGTTTGAAATTCAATGTAGTGGTCCCCAAAAGTGTCCTTTTAAAAGCCAAGGGCGGCCTCACGCTCTATCTGTAGCCCTGAGCTAGCTGCTTTTTTTTAAAACTTCGGCACCCTACGGATGACGACAAATTTAGATTGAAGACCTAAATTGAATTCTAAGTGAGACTTTTATTTTGTTTATTTTACTTTGAATTATAAGAACCATATGGAATGTGACTAAAGGAACCATTATTGAATTTGCCATATGGAAATGAAAACCCGTGATTTTGAAAGGACCATTATTGAATTTCCCTACATTATTAGTCAAGATGGACCAAAAATTAATGAATTAAAAGTAATTATAAAAAGTAAAATATCAAGAATGAATCTATGATAGGAAAAATGTTGTAGATAAGGGTGAGGCCTTAAACAATTAAATTAATATGCACTTTAAAAATTCACTTGATGAGGTTGTTTTGATGCTAAAAAACCCTCAATTTGATCTTCTCAACTCCATGGATATGAGAGAAATAGATTTCAATTATTGAAAATAATGCATCTTGTAATATATTATCTAGGCCGTTAATTTTCAAGATTTTCAAGTGTTCATGGATTTCTTTGATCTACCCTATTTTTGAATCTTTAAATTTTATAATTAGCAATAAAAATAAATTTCCTGGCATTGCGAAGATTTCTAATACTAAAATAACATGTTTGGGCAAGTGCACCCTACGTTGATTTGTTAGAGCCTCAGCCTTAAACAAACTACACACCTCATTCTATAGATTAAAACCCTAATCTGAAAACGGAAAAACACAAAATTACAAACATACTTGTAGCCTTCAGATTGTGAAATAAGTTGATTAACGATGTCTTACAAACCTCGATAAAATCCTTTCTAAATTTGAGTGTAATAAATAGCGCACTCTCAACCGTCCAGTTTCAATTCTAAAGGGTAGATGTAATCTTGACTTCTCGCGCCAGGGGTCATACCATACTTTTCCAAATGAAATTAGTGAGCAAGTACCACCAGCTGGAATTCACACATGTACACCTGTCTCTCTCTCTCTCTTCTCTATCTTCTCTCTCTCTATTTATTGAGTCTCTATTCACACACGCACATTATTAATGAGTTCCATTATTTGGAATTGAACTCAAAGCTTGGGCATTCCCTAGAGAGAGAGAGAGGTTGTTTTGGAGCAAAAAAAAAAAAAAAACTAGAGAGAGAGAGTTCTTGAAGAGAGAGTGTGTTTTAGTTTTTGGGCAAAAATATCAGAGAGTGATAGTGAGTGAGAGAGAGAGAGAGAGAGAGATGTTGCAGTGGGCATGGGCATACACATTGGCAGCGGCCATGGCGATGTTACCAGCCTCCACAGGGCTCGGCTTCAGCTGCAAGTCCCCCTCTTCAACCACCTGCCAAGCCTTTGTGGGCTACTTCCCCCAAAACACCACCACCGCCCATAACATAACCGCTCTCTTCAGCCTCTACTCCGCTTCATCTCTGTTCGCCGCCAATTCTCTCCCCGCCTCCACACCATCCTCCCACTCCTTCCCCTCCGGCCGGCCCGTCCGCGTTCCAATCATCTGCCGCTGTACAAACGGCATCGGCATCTCGGACGGCACCCCTAATTACACCGTCGTCAAAGATGATACTCTCTCTCTCATCTCTGAAACCCTGTTTTCGGGCCTGCTTACTTTCCCCGATATTGCACAAGTCAACAATATTTCCGATCCCAATCGTATTCTTGTCGGGCAAAAGCTTTGGATTCCTCTGCCTTGCAGCTGCGATGAGGTGGAGGAGAGGAGGGTGGCGCATTACGCACATGTGGTGGTGGCTGGGTCGACCACAGACGAGATTGTGGCACGCTTCGGAGTGAAGAAATCGGTGCTGCTGTCGCTTAACAATATTACCGATTCTTCTCTCAAGGCCGGGGCGGTGCTTGATGTGCCACTACCAGGTTTCTCTCTGCTTCTTTGTCCTCCATTTTTGCTTCCTCTCTCATGCCTCTGTTTTTTTTTTTTTGCTATTTTGTGTCGCCTAAAATCTTCTCAAAAGCAAGATTTTTCATTAACTTTTTTTAAAACTGAACTGAATTTCTGAACTTCCTTCTCAATTGCTGCTTCTTTCTTGTAATGTTTTTCCTTCTTTTGTTTCATCATGAATTATGGGAGTTGTGATATTTGGACTTTTCATTCTATCACTGTGATACTTGTCTTTTCTTGAGAGATTAAAATGTTTTTTATTTTTACATTCTTCTATTGTATTACTAATCCTTTATAGAAAAAGGTTATATAAGATTGCCATCGGAAAATGTAGTTTTAATGTTGAAAACTCTTCTAATTGATGATCTTGACATCAAGATGTATGAATATATATAAGAAAAAAAAGATTTTTAGTCCCAGAAATAATTCATATTGCACCATGTTATCTAGACAGTGTATTTTCAAGGTTTTCATTTGTTTATAGATCTATTGATAAAAATAGATTTTCAAAAAATCCTAAGAATTTTTTACACCAAAATTATATGTTATGATAAAATTTGGAGGTGCACTTTAAATGGATTGTTTAAAGTTACAGCCTTGTACAAACACACCCATCTTTTATTAGCCAAGAAATTCCCCATAAACAAGATTGGGGTTTCGTCACTAATCATGAAACTAAATTGTGTTTCTTGATAAACAAACAGCTTGTTATGCCACTATGGATGATCGATCAATGGATCACAACTTGATCGTCCCCAATGGGAGCTATGCCCTCACTGCCAACGATTGTGTGGAGTGCTTGTGCAACTCTACAGACCTCAGGTGACAAACCAATTATATGCTTTGGATTTATACTTTCTTATTTCTTTTAGCCATAAACCTCGGGATTTATTTTTTCCATTACCTTCACTTCCTTCAAATTCCAAGCCATTAATTGATTGTGATTTATGGGTAACATTGTAGGTTACAGTGCAAGCCATTTCAGGTCACAAACATTTGCCCATCCATGTCTTGTGAAGTAAGCGGCCTTGCTAATGATCTTCCTCTTGGCAACACTGTAAGTTTTCATTGTGCTTAGTGATCTTTCTTTTGCTAAAATAATTGACTTTGTTGAATTAATTATGTATTTGTTTTTGGGAGGAGCTGTGGCCTCCCATTAAGCATTTATATTATTATGTTTTTAAGACTAATGTCACCCTTGGTCAAATTTGATATCATGTTTATCGCCAACAGGATTGCGGTTTGACCCATGGGTCTAAAAGTATTATAGACCCATGGGGCAACAAGGTTTTAGTTTATAATATAAATATATTTAATATATAAAGGATGGGGTTGTCGTCTGGCCGCATATTTCAAAGTTTGGTGAAGCTGCACTTTAGATCCCAGCTACAAAAACGAGATCTGGTGCGAACAAATTTGTTTTAGGGCCTACAAATTATCTGTTCGATTTGAAGCTAAAAAAATGGTGCAAAGCTGACGAACTATTAACAATTAAAATCGATGGGCTAAAAAAGGTTTTACGACCATATTTTAGTGCTTGAAATCTATTTTTTTTCCAATCAAGGGGGCGATGCTGGTTTTTGGGCATTGAAATTGCAATTTCAAATTAGATTTAAGGTGCCGCTAGATAAAGCTGTGGTTTTAGAAAATATTTTTCCATGCATGAACAATTTCAGTTTATAGTGCATGTTCTGCATCATGTTTTCTCATAAATTCTTTTCAAAGTGTATTAGTATATTGGGAAAAGTATATAATGAGACGATTTATCTTTGGCACAAAAGGATCACAATTATTTTTTAACATTGGATTTGAAATTAAATAGTCTCAAATTTCAAATGAAATTTTATCGAACTTTTTGACACACCAAAATTATCAGGTTTTCACCTCACATGATTATAAATAATTGTGATCTCTTTGTATGAAAGATTAATGGTACGATTGTATACATGTTTTCTCACAAATTAATTCAATTCGGTAAAATTTAGATGCCCAAGGGTTGAATAGAATGTCGGTGTGTGAATTTTCAATCCAATTCACCACTTGATAAAATATAGATGGCTCAGGTTTTACGTACCCCACGATTTGACCTGTACCTCCAATTTTCAATTAAAAATATCTTCTTCCTTTATATGGGTTTCGTTCTTAAGAAGGTTCAAGGATAATGTTTGCTCAATTTCGTGTATTCACTATAGCCTTTGTACCCTTTTATTTCAGCTTTCCAGTAGCGCAAATTCTACCTCAACGGCCTGCCCATCGGCCACTTGCGCTTACCAGGGCTACACCAACGCCACCATCTTCACTAAGCTCGATACTTCCACATGTTCAGGTGCAGTCTCATTCCTTCTTAAATGACTATCTCATCATTAGGGGTGGCAATGGTCCAGGCCCGGCCCAGACCTAAACTTCTAGGGCTTGGCTCTCACTGCTAGCCTAATTGGCCCGGCCCGACCCGACCCTTTTTCTTTTAGTTTTTCATGAGATTTTATTTAACCCGGCTGGGCCCGGCCCGGCCTAACCTTTTTTCTTTAGCTTTTTTATGTGATTTTATATGGCCCGGCCTAGCCCTTTGCTTGGCCTACTCATTAGGGTTGAGAATGGGTTGGATTGGGTTTGGATCCACCAGGTTCTGGATTCAGATTTGAAAAGTATACGCAGGATCCTGATCCAGATCTAAAAAGTATTCATAGGATTCAGAATCGGATCCGGATGTGGAAAGTATACATAAGATCTAAATTCCGAATCCAAACCTGATTGGATCCCAAAAAAAATTATTTTATATATTTTATATCTATAAAATTATATATAAAAAGTACTATATATATATATATAATACTACATAATATTTTTAATTTTGGCTGGATCCAGATCGGATCCCCATGTAAGATCTGATCCAAATTCAAATCTGAATCCGGATCTATCCCGATATCCCAGATTTGTATAGGGTCCGAAATTCAGATTTCAGGTCCAAAGTGGGTAGAGTCTCAGCCGCGTAATCTTTTACTAACCTGAGAGAGAGAGAGAGAGAGGTTTTTCTTGGATTCCTAGCAGCTGGGATAATATGGAATTGGTAACAGGTGGGCCCCCTAGTTTTGGGTCGATTGCTCGAGTGGTTGCGAGATGGTGGGGCCTCTTGTTTCTAACAACACTCTTCTTACTCTCCTAAAAAGAAATCACATCTGAGAAGCACATATGCTTCAATTTTGGACTCAGTTACTGTTGAAAAGGCGGAGCAGAACGTTGTTATTGTGTGAATCTTTTTCATTTTGGAAAACGCAGTTATTCATAATGTACTGTGTTGTAACGTACCGTATTTTGTTTTTTTCTGTTACGTTCATTGTGTTATATGTACCTTGACCTCAGGCGGTCAAAAAAATGTTAAGAAAAAAAATACAAAAAAATCTGTTAAAATATGAAAAGCATATAAAGAAAGAAAAAGTTTATATAAAGATACTACCTTATAATGTAGAACCACGGATGCCCTTTAAAAATCCATCGGAAAATGTAGTTTTAATGTTGAAAAACCCTTTGATTGATCATCTCGATATCGAGATGTATGACTATGACAAATAAAAAGATTTTAAGTCTCAGAAATAGTGCATTTTACAATATATTATCTACAACATCCATTTTCAAGATTTTCATATGTTCATAGATCTATTTGATTTTAACCATTTTTGAAAGTTAAAATTTTATAATTAGATATAAAAATAGAATTTGAGATAATCTTAAGAATATTTTACATCAAAATTATATACCATAATAAAATTTGAAGGTGCACCTTACTTCTACACCTATGGATGCATCCGTATGCAAACTGCACCCTATAAAGAATGATTAAAACAAAACACATTCAAATGAAGTTGAAAATTTAATGTAAAAAAATGGATTTTAACCCATTTTATATTTTTCAAGGGCTATTTTAAAAATTTTCTAAAATAGATGGAAAATATAAAAGTGAGTATTAATTAACAAAACAATTTTTAATCGTTACCATAATGTAAAGAATATTTAAAAATGCATTACAAATCAAATTCTTTATTTTTGAGAATTTATATACATTTTTTTGATTTTTTTCTTAAAAATACGGGTTGATCACTTTAACCGCCCAAAACCGGAATCAGCCACTGGCTGGTTTTGATCTAACCGGGTAGTTAGCAGTTAGATCGGGCAATTTTACGAACAATGACCCCAAGAGATTATAATAATCCCTAGCCATCAGATGTAGAATATGACATTTTGGGATGTCTTCTAAAGTTCGAAAAAACTTCTTTTAGACTTTGAATAGAGTCAACGAGACAACTCTAGTCACTTTGTTTGGTATCCAAGTGCCGTGGTACATTATGATCTCTTTTTACCGAAGGCAAGTATAAAATTTTCCCATAACTATACAAACAAGAAACTCGTTTCGAAAGTGCTTGAAAGAAAACTTTGAACTGGCCTTGCCTGGGATGTTAAAGGAGTGCTTTAACATGAGAACCTCTGATGTTGGTGAGCATCTTAGAAGTGGGCTGTGCCTGCACACACATTGGCTGCTCCACTTTAAAGGCCTAGAGCGTGTCTAGGAATGGATTTCATAATCCATTCTTCTCGAACATTGATTTGGTCGTCGATGCTCTGTGGTTTGAGGGTTTTGAAAAGTAATTAAATTTACAGTAATTGAATGAAATGAGTGAAAAAAAAGAAAAAAAAAAGTTCACACCTTTGTCAGAGCCTGATGACAGAATCCTAAGTAACAGGAAGCCAAATTAGACTTGTTGAAGAGGTGTATGATTCTCAAGCTGATCTCAAAGAAATAAACACATGTGGATACAACTCAGCTATTTGCATGATAGTGAAAGGAGAGCCAAATATAATGCAATTATGTGGAGAATTGAGTGGACCAATGATAAAAACAACTAAAGTGACATCTAGAATAGGACATCTTATCCTATAGGTAGGCTTGAATTGACTTATTTGATCTTGGTTCATTGAAATTCACATTTCTCTAACTGGTTTAGTCCTGATGACGAGGCAGATTCTGCCATTTGTGCCTTGCTCCATTTTCGAAATTATTTAAGAATATTATGAAAATATGGGGAAGAGATTTTTGGATATAGAAAACAGGATTTTGAATCAAGGAATAGGAAACTACCTACTGATCTTGTAACCCAAAATCCCAACTTTGAATAATTATTATTTTTTTGTTCCTGTTTTCGTTTAGGCGCTGAAGAGAATCAAATCATCCACCACCGAATAATTTTAATGCTTCAATAGGCTTAGATCTGGTGCCTGGTGTGCCACATTAAAAATGCATCATGCCTGAGTTCTACCTCCCAATAATTTTGCTTATTGGCCCCCTCATTTGCTATTTAAGGCCCTGAAATGGGTATTTTGAGCTCAAATGATTCTCTTTCATGGTTCAAAGTTCAAACTCATAACGTTACCCCTTCAATGCCCAACCCTAAGAAATCTACTTCCAGGAGATTTGATAGGGGTAAATAGATTGTTTTTACAAGTAACCCAGGACAACAACATTGGAATGCCATATAGAGCCATTAGGTAACTTAAAAAGGAAGTATGGATTATAAAATCTACTGGGTAGGTGAACCCATTATATTGAAAGGATACAGTGATGCAAATTGGATTTAAAAATAAATCTATATGTCCAAGCGGCTAAATTTCACTCTTGGTGGAAATGCAGTAGCTTTGGGGTTTGAGAAGCAAACTTTATCTCTTGATCCACTTTTGAATCAGAGTTAATTGCTTTTAAAATGGTTGGATGAGAAGCTGAATGATTAGCGGTGGCAACGCGTTAGGTCCGAGCGGGTTGGGTCTGGCCAGACTCGGACCTTGACCCAGACTCGAATAGTATTCAGATAAAATTTGGTGGTGCACCTTATTTTGATTGGTTAAAGTTGCAACCTTATGCAAACCACATTATTTATTTATTTAATTTAGAAGAGTATTCAAACAATTACTGTTGGAGGGCAAAAATATGAATTTGTAGATTTTTAAGTGATTAACCAATCATTGAGAAATGCGGTGTCGCTCTACAGTTTTGAATGTGATAGAGTTTACACCCAATACTGTGATTTGTCACAAGTTTGAACATCTTTCATTAATCATGACTACCCTTTAGTTTGTGCTAAAAAGGCCCTAAATCAGTGATTTAAAGAACGGATCGATGTTTCGAATAAGGCATTTTAAAAACTCATCCGGATCAGTGATTCAAATTAAGAATCGGCCGACTCGATCGGATTAAGCTCTAAAAAAATCAAAAAAAATTATTATTAAAATTATTTATAAATGTTATCTTTTAGAAATCTAATAAGAAATGAGGGTACTCCATTGTTAACTTTAACTTTTTTCATCAATTTGTGAATGTTGATATGTTTTTTCTCTGTATAAACTTATGTTAACCATTAAATTTACATCACACATAAGAAAAATCATATAATTATCATGGAGAAAATATATAATCATATATGGACTACTATAAAGAGTAGATTTAATCGATAAAAAATGGCCATTAAAATATCGAATTGGTAGAAAGCCTTAATCCCCTAAAAAAACCCAAATTATTACAAACTAACTAACTATAATCCAAATTTATTACAACCTAACTAACTATAATGTTATATGCTGAAATTAAAATTGTTGTTTTAAATTATATAATTATTTTATTATAAAATAATAACAAATCTAAAATATTTTGTAATACGATCTAATTTAAAACTAAAAAAACCCAAAATATTACAAACTAACTAACTATAATCAAAATTTATTACAACCTAACTAACTATAATGTTATTTGCTGAAATTAAAATTATTGGTTTAAATTTTATAATTATTTTATTGTACAAATAAAAACAAATCCAAAATATTTTGTAATACGATCTAATTTAAAATGTATTATTGAGAATTGTAAGAAAGATAATAAATTACGTGATTTATAATGCAAAAATTAATAAATAAAATAAAAAATTCGGTTAGAAATTATTAGAATGCATACCAATTTTCGAAAAAATACTTTAATTTTTCAAAAATTTAATTTTTTAGATTTCTAGAATAAATTTAGTAAAAGAGATTGTTAATCGAAAGAGAGATTTCAAATGGAATATTTTTTTAAAAAAAATTAAATTTTTAGATTTATAGAATAAATTTAGTGAAAACGATTGTTAATAGGAAAAGAGAGATTTTTAAAAAAATTAATTTTTTCTTATTTTTGTTGTCAACAAAAATAAAATAAAATGTGTCAAAGGCAGAATCGAACTTGAGAAGTAAAGGCTCTAATGTGAAAGTGATAACCACTCCACTACATCAGCACACGTGTAATTGTTTTCTATATTAATAGTACTTACCCAAATTCCATCATAATTTAACGCATCGTGGGAATTATCCCACATCCAACGGCGAGTTTTAGTTTTGCCTCTATAAATTGCTTTGTACGTTTAAAAACTATAGTACGTGTGTTTCCGAGGTTGTCATCCACGCGTGGCCGGTGGGAAATTGTAGTCCCACGTGTGGACTAAAGAGAGTCAATGTTGTTTTGGCACGTGCTAACTCGCTATTTGACGTTAGAACCGGGTTATGTTCTAGAACCCGAGCGGTTTGCTAACTCGTTATGTGACGTTAGAACCGGGTTATGTTCTAGAAGCCCGGCGGTTTGCTCCGGTTCTGTTCTAGAACTGGGCGGTTCACGGTTTTACACTGAAATCGACATCGGGTAACCGATTCATGTGCCGACCGACTCGGGCGAGTCCGTTGTGACTTGCCAATTTTTAAATCACTGCCCTAAACTATTGTCTAGACGTATCCAAGCTTATCCTCAAGGGCAAGGGAAATTTATCTTAATATGTATGAGAAATAAAGTATTTTACATTCTATTCATTTTTTTTTATAGGTAATCTATCAAATTACCCTTGAGATGTGAACTATTTAACATTTTAACTATACTATTCAGTTTTATTTCATAATATCCAAGACAAGACAAATGATAATGACTTGGAATAGTTGCAAATATGTAAAACATTAAATAATGCATCTCTCATTGGTATTTTGATCAAAATTTCCGATTTTATTTAATTTTAAAATACCCATCAAAATCACCACAATCAAATAGTTGCAAATGCTAAATAGTCTATGTAATTTGATAAATTTCCCTATGAATTTTACTAATTACCCAAGAAAAAAAGAATCTGAATTTTACTACAAATATCAAATTTTAAACAATATTGCTAGCTTGGTTTGAGGTACTCTAGCCATGTGGCAATTCTTTTGAAAGAGCTAAGCAATTTATTCAAAGATAGCCCTTGGTCTTTTACATCGTGAGCTTAAATGTTTTCCCCAACATGTTTGTTTTA